CGAAATTTGCAGAACGATTCTATGAACGGAATTATGAAGGTTTGTTAGAATTGAAATGTAGGAAAACAGAGTCAAGCGCGGTTGCCAGCCAATTCGCATATATAGCCGGGAAGCAAGGTTTCGTTCAACGGTGGCATGGTTTAGTGGTAATGGTCTTGCTTCGCGGCCATACAATGAAGTTCGGATTTCTGGAAAGGAGGAAAGGAACTTGTTTTGCATTTTATGGCTAATGTCCCTTTTAAGTTTAGAAAACACTCAAACGCCAAATGGGTGCCATATTCGTGTTCAGAGAGTAAAACTACCCTTGGAGACAGCTTTCTAGCAGGAATAAAGGGTTTGACCTAACTTTGAAAAGTGCGGTGGCAGTCGATCGAATGATCGCCGCGAATAGTTCCAGGGCCAGTCTCTTATCGACTGCTTGTCTTTGAACGAAATTTGCTTTTAGATATCAGGAAAACTGCAGCAGTAACAACATGAATGCGTAAGAAATGGCAAGACGAGGCTTTGCGCAGAAGAATGTATCTGCAGTGGAATAGGTGTGAACATCGAATGAACTAACCCATGGATGCTTCACTTGTCGAAGTGAGGTCAGAACGCCAGATCTGGCTAGAAACCTCCACCTAGGCGTAGTTCGCTCCCATAAGCAAGAATATGGCACTCGCTCAGCGCGAAAACACCTGTACTCCGCGCCAAGGGCACCTGTACATCCAAAAATTCTCCTAGAGGCACTGGGGCACATAAGGCTCTAAGCGCGTCAGTAAGCGAACACAAACTGTTTATCAATCAAGACAAGGAGAGCGCTAGTGTAGCAGTGACGCTACAACCACTTTTTGCTACGTTTGCACAAGAAGCAAAAAAGTTAAGCCTAGCAGGGATCCGATCCCACGAGCTGTGGCGATTCGAGATCAGCGTCCAAAACCACGTTTAGTGAGCGACATCTCATTACAAATGGCCACTTCGACCTGACGACCTTCCCTGTAAGAAGCCAAAAAATTTCTTCGATGAAACTTTTCCCATAAGGGTAATTCGATGGCCTGATCACGAGCAGGCATTTGATAGTTAACACCAGCGCCATTTAGCGCTCTGCTAAGGCCGAGCCTGGGAGGACGAGTAGTTCTCTTCAGGGCAGGCTTAGCCGTAGCAGAGCGCTGATGACCGTAGTGTCCTCCATCTGCACGAGTCAAGAATGAATGTCATATTCAGTCTGTGGTGTGGGTGCCAGGCAACTTCACGTCAAACGGATGTGTTTTCGTGTTCAGGAGGTTGAACTACCCTAGAACTGAATTCTCAGCCAAATCTGCCCCCAGTAGACAAAGCCGGTTAAAAACTGGCCTGTTTTCTGAAGACTGGTGTGGTAATACTTAATAATACTAATAAAATATAGTAATAACACCGAAGCACATAACTATCTAAATACATTTTCCTCGAAAACAAGTTTCGCAAAGAAAGAATGAAATTGGCATGTAATGTAGTACCAGTCGGCTCGCCGGCTAACGCCAGCGCGCCTCCTAACGCCGGTGCGCCGCGCGTATTTCCTTTCACTTATTTCTAGACTCAACTGATATCCGCCTTTTGTTCTGTACTCCACTTTTTCCGGTCTCTGAAGTACTCTTGAGCTATTTTACAGATTCTTCGTCTGACTCCGCCGGTCTCGGCGCAGGCCCCGCCTACAAAGTTTGTGCCCTACAATCTTCACCGGCGACCCTCTGCTGACCTTAATCCGCTTTTTTCCGGTGTCTGAAGTACCCTTGAGCTATTTTACAGATTCTTCGTCTGACTCCGCCCTTCTCGGAGCAGGCCCCGCCCACAGTGCTTGTGCCCTACAATCTTCACCGGCGACCCTCTGCTGACCTTAATCCGCTTTTTTCCGGTGTCTGAAGTACTCTTGAGCTATTTTACAGATTCTTCGCCTGACTTCGCCCTTCTCGGAGCAGGCCCCGCCCACAATGCTTGTGCCCTACAATCTTCACCGGCGACCCTCTGCTGACCTTAATCCGCTTTTTCCGGTGTCTGAAGTACTCTTGAGCTATTTTACAGATTCTTCGTGTGACTCCGCCCATCTCAGAGCAGACCCCGCCCACAATTTTTTTGCCCCACAATGTTCACCGGCAACAATCTGCTGGCCTGAATTCACTTTATTCCATTCTTCGCAGTTCTCTGGAACCGTTTTACAGAACTTTTTGTCTGGCTCCGCCCACAATGTTTTTGCCCCACAATCCTCACCAGCGATCCTCTGCTGACCTCAGTCCACTTTTTTACGGTGTCTGGAGTGTTCTGGAACCGAGCTACAAACTTTTAAAATGAATGCCCTGCGATTTAGGACAAGCTCCGCCCACTGCCTGCCACAGTTAGTCTGGCAAGTCCTTACTAACCTTATTTCCTTTTTTCCCCATCTTTGAGCTGCTCCGAAAGCGAACTATGAACATTTTTCTGCGGAACCCCAAACTTTCGGCGAGTGCCCCGCCCACTGTGTGCGGGGCTTCCCATAGGTGTGCTTTTGTGTTTTTTTAGTGTGCTTTTTATTTCTTGTCTCATGCCCTACCCATCCCCACCTTGACCCGACCTCTCCAAGTCGTTCTTCAGCTGGAACCGGATTTCCGGACTTACAAACAAACTTACAAACTTACAAACAGACGAATCGCTTTATATACAAGGGGGAGGGCAAAAAAACTTTTCTTCCCTGACATTTGAGGCGTTGTAAGTTACACTTTATTGAATTCTTATCGGATATTTTCACCACCATATTAAAGAACATATCAAATACTATTATGATAATCCGCCACAGCCTTCTGGAGGAGCGCCATCGAGAGATTCTGCCACGTGAGTGGGTGCCTGAGATCAGCGAGGTAGTCGATTTCTCCGCCACCTAGACCACCCTGTTGAACTCCGCCCGAACCAGGTAATTGAGAGGGTTTGGGTCAGATGACCTGCTTGAATATTCCACCTTCCTCAGGTACTCAACGCCCCTCCATTCCAAGTAGGCGAGTGTTTCTCCGACGCCCTTCGATTTTATGTGGTGGCACTCAATGCTGTAGCAGTACAAAGTTTCCAAGAAGGTACGGGCGACGACATGTGAGGTGGATATTCTTCTCGAGTTGCTCGATGTAACCGCCAGTGCTCAGCTTCAGTCCGCTGCCCGCGAAAAAAATATTGGTCTCTCCATTCCAGGTACGTCCGGTCCCTACCATCAACTGGCGCCTTGGCGACTGGAGTGAAGATGATGTCCTGGACCGTAGCGACGTTGACGGAGCTGCTTGATGATGGAGGTCTTCCAGATCGAGAGTACTGGTCTCCAGGTAGCTATCCATGGGTGACTCCATACTAGAAGTTTCGCAGCTGTTTGGAGATGACTTGAGTTCCGAAGGTCTTCTCCAGTCAGGTTGCGGCTGGAGATGACCTCATATTTTGATGTACATGAAGGCGATGGGCGAGCGCCAGCTCCTGCTTATAGAGGAACATCTTGGGTATCCTCCGCCCTGGTACTCGTATCCACGTTCTCTGTCTGGGCTGCGGAAACTTTGCTGATATGTGACTCGGTCGAAATGTCTTTTTTTGCCCCCCCCCCCGTATATTCACTACATGTTAGCCTTCTGCGTGTGAAGTGACTCTCTCCCCACATATTTCCAAAACAGACAACCTTCAGCGTCTTAAGTGACTCTCCTCCACATATTTTCACTTTAAATTCACCCTTTTTCAAACCAAATTCCCCTTTTTCAAATCAAATTCACCCTTTTTCAAACCAAGTTCACCCTCACTTTTCACATCAAGTTGACCACACTTATAGGGCGGGCAACTCATCAGCCAGATCACGCCAGACATCACTGCGAGCCCCGCCCCCACGGCCAGGCCCACTTGTCAGCGCGGACATGGTTTCTCAAATCTTGTTTCATAACTTCTGCTTTTGCTGTTTCCCACAAACACTTTGACTGGAAACCAGCGGGCATTCACACATGGTCGACTCCGCCCATTCTCTAAAGGGTTTGGCAATCTAGGCTGACCACACATACTCTTTCTTCTGGAGTTTCGATATTTTTTCAAAATTTTTAATTTTTGCTGCTGCGTGAAGCTTCGCCCACTATGAGATGCTCCGCTAAAATTGAAGAAGCCTCGCCCACTTTTTAAAAATGGTGCAAATCGGCAGTATAGAGCCTTGGCCCGCATGCTAGGGTCTCGTACGTCACTCGGAAAGACAATCCTGCAAAGTTTATTCCGAATGATCAGCAATACCCTAGCATGTGCAAGCCAACTCTCTATACTGCCGATTTGCACCATTTTTGAAAAATAAGAGGGGCTTTTCCAAAGTGGGCGGAGCGTCTCATAGTGGGCGGGGCTTCACGCAGCAGCCCTGAACTGCAAAAATTTTGAAAAAAATATCAAAATTCCGCGAAATGCGAGTGGGCGTGGTCAGCCTAGATTGCCAAACCTTTTGCCAAACCAAACCCGAGCGGAGTCGGCCATGTGTCCTTGCCCGGTGGTTTCCAGTCAATGTGTTTGTGGGAAACAGCAAAAGCAGAAGTTATGAAACAAGATTTGAGAATCTATATCGGCGCTGACAATTGGGCGTGGCCGTCGGGGCGGGGCTCGCAGTGATGTCTGGCGTGATCTGTTGGTGAGTTGCCCGCCCTAATAAGTGTGGTTAACTTGATGTGAAAGTGAGGGTGAATTTGGTTTGAAAAAGGGTGAATTTGGTCTGGAAAAGGGTGAATGTGGTTCGAAAAAGAGTGTATTTAAAGTGAAAATGGTATATATAGGGTGACAGGGTGATGTTGGTGCACCCGCATGTGAACGTTTTTCACCTGACGCGCAAATTTCGGGGGGGGGGTACTGTACGCACCCTGACATCCTGAACTTACAATCTTGTGAAAAAGATAGGCGCAAGTCCCTGAAACAAGGCGTTTCAGAAAACCACGTGATGGACAGCTGACGGCGACTCGCCTCCTTAAGCACTGCCCATTGACACTGGATGTGAGCTTTGCGAAATCTATTCGCGTTGAATGAACATGCAGATGCATGAGATGCAGTACATTGAAATGGTATGTAGGTCAAGGCAGGGGTGACTCATCTTCACTCGGGCCCACTGCTTAAACTCTGCGAACTCCCACAGCCGAAAGTTTTTTCAGTTGTAAACCCATCGCAAAACAAGTATCGGGCTCCATAATTCACGGCTATATAATAAAATGACCATCAGGTTGGCTTGCCGTCAAAAAAAGAGGAAGCCATTACGAGCCCGAAGACGAACGAGGAACTCAAAGAAATCATGCATCGAGCTTATTCCGACGATCCGAATGCTTTCACCTTGAGTCAGGTACCTGAGCATATGGTGGCTGATGAAATTCTGCGATTCTTTTTTAAGGAACTAATTGTTGCTCTTGGTTCCTTAGTAAGAACGGAGCCGAAGCTCTTTGTCGAGATGTTTAGACTACGAATTGGACTGATTATACAGGTAATTGCATGTTTACGAGGGAGGGTAGATCGAGGTTAATATGTGTGTGGCTTTCAGGTTCTTGCTTCAGAGCTGGCACGAATAAGGAACCTTTCAGCTGCCGACGCAGCCGAAAATTTGATGACTATAAGTCCGTTTGAACTAAAATCTATGTTGTTTTCGTTGCTGAGCGGTAGACTCCTGGAAGAGTGAGTTTAATATCACTTTTTGGCTCCCTATAAATTTGGGAGGAAGTGAAAATATTCGAGTGTCATCACATAAACTTTATCACTATTTTGCTTCAATATTGTTTCACTAGTTGAAAGCATCCCTGAGGGCGACTAAACTCAGTGAAATCCTTACTGGGCGTAGCTTGGAAAATTGGATATCAAACAAGGAGGAAAAGACGAGTGTAAAGGATTGTGAACTGGCATTATATCACAGAGGCTAGAGTTGGACAACTTCAGTGGAACACAATTTTCGTATTGCAAACACTTCCACTTGTATGCAAGGCATTGTGGTCATGTGCTGATTGTGCCATTTCATTAGTGAACACTGAAACAAGAACTATGGATTTGTTAAAGAACACCTTACAAGTCCTCAAGTAGCTTTGCAAAATGGAACTGGACGTTTTCCAAACTGAATCGAGCATTTCCTAGTGAAGCCGAACAAACCTTATCAAAGAGAACTGGACCATCAGTGAGCTCCTGGCCTGCATATGTGGGAAGCGAGAAAATAATCGGTTCTTGACTTGATAAGAATTGAAGCTTGAATCTATAAAATGCCTTGCTGCAAGGGGACCCTAGTCATTGCTTTTTGTCAGCTGGAATTGTGACGGCCATAGTGGCTGTAAGCATGCTGTCGAAGAAATGGCTTCAATGAAGTGCTCGCTTCATAACCGCTAGCCGAGGAACCGCTGAGTGTCAGTGCTCCATTGCTAGAGAAGAATTCGGGAATGAGCTGTGCTTCCATTGATCGTGGGAATGAAAAGGGCCTAAAGTGTTTCAACTGTTTCGAAAGAATGCTCTGAAAATGTTTAAGGGTACATACCGTACTCTATTTTCAGGACTCCTTCCTTGGCCAAACATCGCTCTGACGTTTTGGGAAACAAAGAAAACTATAAAAAAACCAATAACAACAGGAAAAAAACAACGCTTGTTTCGATGAATAGGCTTCGCACAACGTTTGATTTAAACCGAGGAGAAAGCGTCGCAATCGCTGTGCAAGTTCATATTATAACAGATTGTTTCTGTGTGTCGTGGGCACGTAACAGTTTTTGTGAAAAAGAAAGCAGTGTGACAAAGCTCCAGGCTCGATGTTTCACCAGTGTACTAAACTCTTCAAATCTTCCTTAGTTTGAGGAATATCTTGACTTGATGGAATGATTGAAAGACAAATGCGAGGTTTGGACGTTCATGATTTCCTTCGTATGTAATGAATTGCATGACAAGGAACATTCATGCAGAGCCTCATTGTTCCTTTTTCTGAGAGCGCCATACTTTCCCTAGACGCATCTGTCTTCGTATACCTCATATGTGATCCTTGTGGAAGGAATCCTGATCCACTCAAAGGAATACCTCTCTGCTATTGTGCAGAATTCATTCGAAAACCATCGTATGCCTTCAAGATGCGCAGTTTTGTCAATCTATTCGAAAGTGACCACTTACCTCAGAGGTGTGAAAGGCTAATGTGACGATGGTAAGCAGTTTCGTCCATGTAAGCAGATAGCATTGGACTCGTAAAGGTCGGCAGCCTATTGCGAATCTGATTGCCTTGTGTTACTTACTCATCTGCATAGTTACAAACTTATACAACTATTAATTCTATTATGAAATTACCTCAATACTTTTCAGTCTCCCACACGTCCGGGTTCTCCACAGTTCCTGGTTTCGCTCCCCAAAACTTAGCGATGTTCGCATCTTTGCACTATTTGATGGTCACCTGCTCTTTGCTTACGACTGAAACGGAAGTTGAAAGAACAGTCACACACTGGAATTATCTTGAAAGGATGATCCGTGGAAATCAAGTAAAATAAAACGACCAAAAACTATTGAAAGGCCCAGAGCCCTAAACATGGGGTTTTTTTGCAGGACAGTCGTATGCAGTAGGCCTAATAAAGATATTTTCGTTACCAATAAGATCTTTGTCTCGCCAGAAGGAAACAAGGAGGGGTGAAATTAATCACCGCTCAGCAGCATTCTCAGGGTGAGAGATCCGACGGTGATCAGTTGCTGACCGTGGCATTTTGTGAGGGGGCGTTTCTATTAACGTACGGACCGGCATGTTGCGCCTTCGTAACGATCCATCAGAGCATTCTTCGTTGCAATTGTTACTACATAGCGCTTGCGAGTACAGTATTTTTTCTGCTAGTCGCACTTACACGGTTTGTAGATTCATCGCGCAATTTGCCTTCAACTGAAACCTTTGGACGCTATCATTTAATTGAAAGTTGTTCAGATTTGTCGATGATTGCGAGGCTGCGAAAGAAACGCGGACTGGAATTGGAAGTTTCAGACGGCATATTGAAGAAAGAAAAGTAAAAATTAATGGATGATATGTTTACATGTTTCTACGATGTTTCTTGTTTTTAAACTCTTTAGTCTGTGCGAAAGTCAACTAGAAGCATCAATGAACGCGCTACAGAAGGAAGTGCGTCCAACGTGGAAGATGAAGATGAGGAACTCTCCGAAGACGATTTCCAATTCGGCATCTGGCTGAGACATCGTCGTATCGATGGCGCTCTCAACAGAGTACCAAATAATTTTTACGCGGTAATGATCCATTTTTTCATGGCTTGTCGACCTGATCAATTTGATGCTCCAGTAAAATCGCGTCGAGAGTATATTTTTTTTCGGCGACTACAGTTCGAGGCTCATTAGAAAGAGACCGATAACTAATTAACGCATTAGCGACAACACGATTTTTCGCATCTGCCGCATAGGATGCGACGGTTACTTCCACCTCACAGAAATGGGAAATACCTCTCATAGAAATTATCAAACATTACTAAGATGCTAATTGCAGTGCGGGAGATGTCAGCACCTAATACGTAAACAAATAAGAGTTTAAACGAGGGCCAATTTCAGGAACTACTTTGTATAAACTTCTTTGTGAAGGAAAGAGGAGGAATATAGAAAGAAAATGTTCTCGCTAGAGACTTTTACCTTGCCAACTATGGGTTGGTCCATTAGTAGAAGCGTTTCATTCTGGAACTTCGAATGCGTCCGAACAGGAACTTTTCCAGCTGACTTTGAACCTGGGGAATTTCCGCCTTACAGGACTACATGCGCAGCTTTTTCAGCGACTCACGTTCTGTTAGTTTTGAGTGACTGTAGTAGTGTCAGGTTCAGACCAACGAGCTTTCTCCCGTTTTGCCTTCAACCGAGAAACCAAAGTGGCAGGAATGCTATTGTGAATTGTATGGGCTAGGAGTTACACTTTATACGGAGGTTCAGAGTTGCTTGCATTCTGACAAGGGAAGTCGTTCAGGTCATAGTGAGCCTTCTGGAAACGGTTTATCGCATAAGCGGATCCATGCACGGACAGCACAGCTATGGTTCATTGTTGCTGAGTGTTGAGTATAGCGTATATTTATGAGGTGTTCTTTAACTAACCAGGGAAGGTCAACAGGTCGCCATGGTCATTCAGGATGAAATGCATATCGACGTGTGCGTCTTGGGACGCTGAGCTCAAATCTGCTTTCAAAATTTGCCGAGCGATTCTCTATGCGGAGTTGGGGGGGGGGTGGCTCTAGCATAGTACTCGGCGATCCTGCTTTGCGTAGCTTGAATCAAGCTCGAGTACAAACAGGATTAAGCGGTCGATAGTGTAGTGGGTAGGTGAGCTGTTTCATAGATGGTGGGTCATGGGTTCGATTCCTTGACAGGGTCGGTCTTTTGCTTCTTTTCGGTACATCTTCTGCAGTTTAGAAAACACTTGTATCCATTAGTTTAAGAAAGGATCTCTGTGGCAGGCAACCAGGAAGAGTGCTGCGTTACTTCGGCCAGTTTGCCCAACTGCCCTAGCACAAAGCCCCGCATGAAAGCGACTGCAGTCTGTGCTACACGCGCCGGAGTCGGAACAAGCAGATGGGTCGCTTGTGGCATAAGTGTGGTTTCAGGCTGTACCGATGTGATATTCGTGTTGGGGGGTCAAACTACCCCTGTTGACAAGTTTTTAGCAAACTTGGTGACTTAAGGTATTTTGGCGCTGGCGCCTGTGGCGCGGGCGATAGGAGGTTTCGTGCCGAGCGGTTGTGATATATACAGGGGGGCCAAAAAAAGTCATTCCGGCCGAGTCACATATGAGCGAAGTTTTCGCAGCCCAGACAGAGTAAGTGGGTATGAGTACCAGGGCGGAAGATACCCAAGATCTTCCTCTATAAGCAGGAGCCGGCTGCCGCCATTCACCTTCATGTACCAAAATATGAAGTCATCTCCAGTCGCGGCCTGAGTGGAGAACACCTTTGGAATTTACGTGGCCTCCAAACAGCTGCGCAACTTCTTGAATGGAATCACCCATGGATAGCTACCTGGAGACCAGTACTTTTGATTTGCAAGACCTCCAACATCGAGCAGCTCCGGCAACGTCGCTACGGTCCAGGACATCATCTTCACCCCTTTCACCAAGGCGTGGGTTGATGGTGTGGACCGGCCGTACCTGGAATGGATGAACCGATATTTTCTTCGTGGGCCCCATGAGGGTGTGCGCTGGTGGCTACATCAAGTAACTCGAGAAGAATATCCTCCCTACATGTGGTCGCCCGTACCTTCATGGAGACCTTGTGCTGTTACAGGATTGGGTGACAACACATTTAAAGGCAGCGCCCGCTTTCAAATTTAATGAGTATGCGGCTCAGGTAGTAACAGCTCGGTAGCAAGAAGCCCATTAATGAAGAAAAATCAAACAGAAAACACGCAAGATGCCCTAGAAGGAGTTTCATACCGAACAACGGTTGTACTGCTTAGGGCGAAGAGAAGGAGTGATTGCACGGGTTTCCACTTGTTCATATCAGCTGTTTTCCCTTATCACCTCACTCTCACCACTCCACGTGGAGAGAAGCAGCAATGGAACAAGCGCACCATCAGGCAACCATTAGAAATGAAGTTGGGTGGCGTGGTCGGCAGGTGGGCGGAGCCGTCGGCTCTTTGCGGGCGGACGCCGCCGTTCCGTCGCATTTTTGGGTTGCGAAGCATGCACGTCCACCATCCTCA